TATAAAAAGAGAACCAAAGGATACCAAAAGGACATTTAAACTCATAAGTCAAAAATAAACTGACAACACCATGGATAAAAAAGAAAAAGACAAACAGACAAACAACAGTACACAAAACAACATAGAAAACCAAAGACTGAGCAACACAAACCCCATCAAAAACTTGGGGTGATCTCAGTTGCCCTGTAAGGGTAAGCAGATCCTGCTCCACATGTGGCACCTGTTGTGTTGCTCATGTAAGTACAAACCCGGTGGTATGTCTAATTCGGTAGGTCACAATCGGGGGAAGGAGACGAGATTGTAGTTACGACAATTGGAACATATCCATCATCATCTGTAAAACAGATATTCCATAACAGTCAACCAACTTGTGATGGTGTCTGTAAAATTTATGAAGGGATGATTTCAACTTCACCACTTGGAACGCTTGTTTTAATAGCATCCTTGTGAGCAGCAACCCTCTATCAAAAAATCATGATAGGAAACACAAGGATAATTGATTTTGTGGTGTTGCCAAAGTCTGCCTACAAGCGTATTGAAAATTTGTACTTGGTTGTACATTTAAATTTGTAGTAAACCTTTACCCCCTAAAAAACTCCAAAATTGGTATTCCGAAATAATAATGAATTCACAGTAAACAATAATACATGTACATGATAACATGTCCTGATTTGTGGCAGTAATTCTCAAAAGGCCATTGGTACAGGTGAGCAAACAAATATTGTGGTTTATTACATAACATATCTTTGTTTACAACCAACCTTGTTCTTCAAGTGACCTTGAAATTATAAAAGTGACCTTGAACATCATAAGTGGTGTTTGAACTACTAAATATAGGTATTATATTCCTAAATGTATTTTAAATTTTTGGGTTGTGCAATATCAAAGGTATGCATTGCAGAAAGCTGTTTGCAATAGATTTAATCAAAAATAAAACTTTGGATAAGTACTTAGAAATTGTAGTAACTAGGCAATCATATATTCTTTAAAATTTTCAACCACTTAGATAACACTGAAAATTTATTTGAATTTTCTTGAAAAACAATTGCTTAAAGCATCATATTTTATATCTTTTTTAAAAATTTGTTTTCAAAATACAACAGTATCGCAGAATTATTCAGCATAAAAATCTGTGACGTTACCAGGGGAGATAAGTTATTAAAATATATCAAATTCAAAAAAGAAATCATTAACTAGATATTATTTCAACCAAACAACTTTAGCACTATTTTGAAGTAATTGAGTCTCAGTATACAATTTTTCATTGCATTTCCTTAGAGAGAAATTTTATTAAAATCAACAGATATTTGACAGAAAGAATAATACACTCATTATGATACCCAGTATAATTCAAAAGGTTGTATTATCAGGGGGAGGGGCACTTCAATACTTAATTGATAGGGGTGACGCTGTTGTTCTGTTACCCCATTCTTTTTCATATAATTTAGATTTTAACTCCACCGCATTTTTGCGCCTGTCCCAAGTCAGGAGCCTCTGGCCTTTGTTAGTCTTGTATCATTTTTAATTTTAGTTTCATGTGTATGATTTGAAGTTTAGTATGACGTCAATTATCACTGAACTAGTATACATATTTGTTTAGGGGCCAGCTGAAGAACTCCTCAGGGTGCGGGAGTTTCTCGCTGCATTGAAGACCCATTGGTGGCCTTCGACTGTTGTCTGCTCGATGGTCGGGTTGTTGTCTCTTTGACACATTCCCCATTTCCATTCTCAATTTTACTTTCCATATATTGCGTAGGTAAAAATGTTACCTTTTCCCATATTGGTTGGGTTTGGTGTGGTGTGTTGGAAAAGTGAAATACCAAAGTGTCAAAAGAGGGAAAATTTGTGGATAAAAACACAGCCAGGAACACGAAGAAAGATGACAGATGAACTTTACTGACCTTATCATATATTTCTGATAGTTTTTCCCACCTTTTCACATATTTTCAAGCTGGAAAATGTGACCTATTCCAACGGCACGTCCTATCACCTTGTAATTAGGAAGTGGCCCTATATATAACATATATCCTTATTTTTTTTCAGAAATGCAGAATCTTATAACTTTGACAATTTTATTATTTGTCTTAAATCATAGTCTAAGAATTGTAAACATTAGTCAAAATACTGTATAAAGATTTAACACAAGGAGTTTTCCCCTTCATCTGTGGCATCTTTCAAACCACTTCCTACAAAAACTTTCCCTACTGTACAAGAAGTGTTCAGTTTGGGTTGAATAGTATCTAAATATAAAACTCCCCACCAGAGACCAAATAATGTAGATATTAGCAACTATAGGCCACTGTATGGCCTTCAACAATGAGGAAAACCCATCCTGCATATCAAGCTATAAAACTTTGTATTTAAGGAAAAGGTTTAGCCCCCTAATAAATCGGTGAACTACTAACCCATTCATTACCTTCGTGTTTCGTGTTTTGTATATAAAAAAACTGTCAATACACAGGTGAGGATATGGTGAGGTGTTTGTTTATCTTAAAAGATGTGTCAAAAAACACAAACTACAGGTCAATGACAAGTACTTCAAATACCAGCTTATCTACACAAAGAAGGAATTTAACAGTGTGTTCTATCAAAACAATGGAATCACCTCTTCACCATTCAATATTATATATCTATTAAATAAACTTACTCTCGATAATAACCCTCCATTTATTAATATATCTGTGCAATTTATTTCAAATCTGTCAACAATAAAGTTCTAACATTTGTTTTTCAGTTTCTCTGATAAAATTAAATAGAACTAAAAAGGGACTGTTGATTTTTAATGTCAAACACCTTGATGTTAATTGTTTTATCCTACAGTCGGAAAAGTGTATCAATGTTTAAGAATCTAATTTATCCTTGTCAGACTTGCATGGTTTCTTAAGATATAAATTGCTTCCGTTTGCTTTCCAATATACTGTAAAATGGTTTATTTTTGTAGAGATTAACTTTTGAAATTTCTAGGATCAAACCAGTCTTATTTTCAGGATATCCTTGTCCATGATGCTGGTCTTCTTTATAGAACAAGTTTATGCTGGAGAATATTCTTCGCAATTTTATCATAATAGCAAAAATAGGGAAAAATAAACTCTTCACGAAAATTTTCCACTTTATAGTAAATAAGCTTTAAAACTTACAGACCTTGTCTCAAATCTTACAAGACAACATCATCAACATGTTGAAATTTATTCATTTATAAGCAGACATTAAATCCAATGTCAGCCAGGCTGAAACAGTGGAGTGAAGCAAAATATCAAAACAACCATGTTGAAAGGAAAATCATAATGTTAAAAAACATTATTGAATTAACCCTCTTCCAACCCAATAATCACTCTAGGTTCAAGTCCTGGTAATGAATTTTCACTTTCACAATTAATGCTGGCCTTGTAGTCATAAAATTTTTGAGTACAATTTTCATACTCAGGCTCCAAAATTCTGGATTTGATGTTTTGAGCATAAATTTTGTAGTCAGAGTGAGGAAAGTTTTATGACTGAAAGCCCTGGTGATTGTTAGTGATTCGCTCTGAAATACCTCTCTGTATTTTACATAGGTAATAAATTATTATCATAAATCACAATTAGTTATCACCTCAAATCACTAGCAATCACCATGTTTCACTATGAATCACTCAACACCAACAAGAGTGATTTTTCTCTGAATAAATCATGTGACATGTATAAAATTTGAAAAGCATATATCAAGTTCATGGATACTGGTTCTGTGATAAAACCAGTTTTTAACTCCCCTGTATTTTTCATATATAAATGTTAAATTAAAAAACTGCAACAAAGATTTTTTTTCAATTTTGCAATACCTTACATGACCTTTATCTTACATTTCATTGTGTACAGAACACTTAAGGTGTCAAACAGTTCTTAATTAAATAGATCAGGTGGCATGATACAGAGCATTTTATTATATATAATGTATATCCACTTGCTGAATTCCAAAGTTTCTCAGCTACTAAAGAGGGACAAAACAGAATTTTTTTTTATCTTTCTTGAAATCCCAGTGACCTATTTTTTTTTATCAACAGTTAAAATCAGCTGATAATTGTTTATCAAGATACAATATAAAAAAAATATCAGAGTAAACAACTCAACTGAAAAAAAATGGAACTAAAAGTGAAATACCAAACTACATGTATATATGTATGCCTTTGCAAACCTAAAATGATCAAATTTGGGGTTTTAATTGAAAACTTTAATTTCCTTTAACCAAAATTGCTACCATTACATGCAAAAAGCTAAATTTTACATTAAAAAAACATCAAGTAGAACTTACATAATTTTAACTAAGAACAAGGACTTTTTTCAGGGTGTTTCCCTTAATGGCCTTCTTTTCCATTCCTATTTCTTTCTTTTTTTCATATTGTGTGTCCTTATTTAAAATACACTTGTCTTATTCATTTATACAGACTGGTTTGCTCATAATATCTGCATTATATACATGTGGCCAAAAATATACTTCACCAGCATTGGCTATTAAATTCAATTGTACATCGAAAGGGAGATAACTCTATTTGTAAGAACTGAAATAGAATAACAGGTATTTATAGAGTAATTCTATGTATTAAAGATAGGAACACTTTAACATTAAAAAAACTTTCCAAATTTTTCAATTAATTATAAATCAATTGAAGGTAATAATCTTAGGACTGTTTATGATTACTGTTTTTAGGGTTTAATTTCAGAAGAACCCAGACCTTTTTGAAGTAGAAGGTAAGATCTGGGATACATTTGTAATTTGTGTCTAAAATTGCAGTATGTCATTCAATATTTCTCTAATCTGCAGAAATAAAAGTTAAATTGTAACTTATGCAGAGTATAAGTGTTGTTTATGCAGGAGGAATATGGTGCAACACTTTTTAATTCTGATTATATCTAAATGCAAATTCTACAAGAAATCTGTATTATTTGAATTTGAGCTTTTTTCCATGCTTTTTAACATCTTACAGAGGGTATATATTAATAACTAGACACTATATATAAAAACTTACCAGCACAGAAAAAAAGTTGATTGGAATTCGACAACCAGTAAACAATTCTTGTAGATATATAATCGTTGTTTTCTGTTATTCCCTTGATTCTTTGTAAAACATCTTAAAATTGTGTACCTTAACCTGCAAATAGGGAAAGTATTTGAATGTCTATGTGAAAAAAAAAATTTGCATTTTGATTTTCTGGCCATTCCATTATTTTTTTTGTGTTAAATATAAATATATCCTGATAAACATCACACATATCAGAATCAGGTTTGTACATATGATGTTTCAGGGACTAAAGTGAATGTTTACTAGATTTACGAATTATTAATTGCATTTGTCATTCTCTAGTGAGCTAGGATGGAATTCTTGTCCTAAATGAAATACAAGGTCGATCACTCATTAAATTTCAGATTTGGGAAATTGAGGAGAGGCATCAGATAGGTGAAAAGTTTTTATGAGATGTGAGATTTGTATCTAACACCTTTTTATTTAAGGCAAATCAAAGGAGCAACCTGACCATTAAGGTCTTGTTATAAAATAATAATTGTAATAAGTGAAATAAAATTGAGAATGGAAATGGGGAATGTGTCAAAGAGACAACAACCCGACCAAAGAGCAGAAAACAGCCACCAATGGGTCTTCAACACAGCGAGAAAATCCCACACCCGGAGGCGGGCTTCAGCTGGCCCCTAAAACAATAAACTGCTTCACTGAGCACAGCTAGATACGCCCGCAGAGGTCCAACCCTGAACAGTTAGGGCAAAAATGGACACAATATTCAAGCTTGATTCAGGTCTGAATTTGAATTGTAATTAAATATTTGACATATTATAGGTTTCTGAATAAATGTAGTCAAAGAACTTGAAATTGGTTATATGAATTGAATTTATATTCAATTAAAGATTTCTTGCTGTTGTGCAATACTTAGTAAATCTGTTGTCAGACTATAAACAAATAAAGTTCAATTAATTCTCAATGTCATATTAGAAATTTATGAAAATAAAAAGAGAGCTTACATCAATAGATATAAACAATTCACCAAAGTTTCATGAGAATTGGTGAAATTTTTTTTGAGTTATTGTCCAAAAACTGGAAAATCACCCCTTTTTTTAATGAATAAAACCCCATAACTCAGAAATGTAAAATGTAAAATTTATAAAATTCTAAAGGGAGCTCACATCAATACATACAAACAATTCACCAAAGTTTCATAAGAATTGCTGAAAGCATTTTTGAGTTTTTGTCCGAAAACTGGAAAATCCCCCCTTTTTTTATGAATAAAACCCTGTAACTCGGAAACGTAAAATCTAAAATTTATAAAAATTGAAAGAGAGCTCAATGTCAATAGATATAAACAATTCACCACAATTTCTTGCAAGTTGGTGAAAGCATTCTTGACTTATTGTCCGAAAACTGGAAAATCCCCCTTTTTTTAATGAATAAAACCCCATAACTCGGAAACGTAAAATCTAAATTTTATAAAAAACGAAAGGGAGCTCACGTCAATAGATATAAACAATTCATCAAAGTTTTATGCAAATTGGTTAAAGCATTTTTGAGTTAATGTCCGACATGTTGACATGTCCGGACAGACGGACAACGGTATACCATAATATGTCCTGTAAACGGGCGTATAAAATGTGTACTAGTTCAGTGAAAATGGACATCACACTAAACTTCGAAACATATAAATGAACTGAAATTTAAAAAACATACAAGACTAACAAAGGCCTGAGGCTCCTGACTTGGGACAGGTGCAAAAATGTGGTGGGGTTTAACATGTTTTGTGAGATCTCAACCCTCCCCCTGTACCTCAAGCAAATGTAGAATAAACAAACTCACAGCAATACGCACAATAAAACTCAGTTAAAAAGAAGTCTGAGTCTACATTTTGTATGAGAATTGATTTAATTTCCATAGATTGCACTAAGACCAAAACTACAATTTGTCATGCAAATGGTACATTCACTTTTAAGAACTGACTGGTGTTTTCTGTGTATGGAATTCTGAAATTGAGCTGTTCATATTACTTTAAATTTGTTGCACATCTGATACTTAGGGTATTTAAAGGACATGTAAATCTGCAAAAAAATAAAAACAAATTATTTTAAACTAACAAGAACTAGATTTTTCTGGTTTTATAGTGTCTTACTATGCAGTATGGTTACGTACTGTGTCAGGGTTATTCCAGAATTAATTGTACTGATTGGAAGACACATAATATTAAAAATGTAAGGTGATGGGGTTTGAAACCAATTTGCACACAATAAATTATAATGTATTAAATTTCTTCTTGAAATAGTAAGGGTGGGATTCTTGGGAAAAAAAGTGCCTTCCAACCCACATACAATTAATTGTGGAATAGCCCTCATTGAAATGTGTATATACCCAACATCACCTTTGTATGACATTGCAGTTTTTCATTGCTGGTTGTGATAGGTTCATCATGTCAAAGTTTTTATTGTTAGATCGAACACAAAGCCTGGTTTGAAATACTCTGAAGAGCTATGCAAGGCAAAGAGCAATATGATTATTTTTTTCCTTATTTTCAAATTATCAAAGCAGTCAATTTTTTCTATAAGCTTGAAGAAGAGAATGGTCTGCATTTTTTAAATTTAATTTCCAAAGAATAAGAAATTTTTTATTTTGTGTTTTCTAGTTTTACACTTTTAAACGTTTGATCTTTTTTCCCTCATCCCCTCACGAAAAAAGGGCCACCATATAATATTGCAGAAACTGATAAATACTATGAAGTACATGTACATACATGGTGTACTATCATGAATATATTTTAATAGCTGAAAGGGAAGTAACTCTAGGAGACAAACTATGTCTTTCTTCAGCAATTACTAAAACTAAATGTTAATAAATTGAGTTTATGTAACAAATTATATACATGAATTTTTAAATTTAAAAAATTTGAATTATCACATATGGCCATATTTTTAGCACTGTTTTACCCAGTATTTAACTCAAAACAGCAAAACTATATTCATTCAAAATTTTTCTGTAAAAAAAACATACATGTACATGAGTTCCAAGTTCAACTGAAATAAAACAGTTAATTCCATATATCTAAGATCTTACTTTGTACTAGATTGACACTCTTACTTAGACTGGTAAAGTGGTACCTCATAACCAGGAAACCATTTGATATCCTACCTTGAATCTTATTCTGACTACAATTCAATAGATCGTTGTTCTTATTCCCTAATGCTGCATGCTGAGCAAAGAAGCAGCCATTTCAGTGTTAAAATTTTTGGATTTACTCAAGGAAGAGATAAGATCATTGACCTTTGACACTTGAGGGGCTATTGTTGTTTATGTTAAATATGATAGGCATTTCCTCATTTGGAGTATATGTCCTGGGTATATTACTTACTTCCCCTTCCTTAACTTTATGCAAATTTCTAAATATATATCTGTTAGAATGAGCAGGTAAAGACATCCTGTACCTATGTTGGAGAATGACCTTACATTACTTCAGTGGATGAAGACCTATTCTATTTCTAGCATCTGTGTTAGTTTTTTATCAATGTCCTTGCATAATTTCTTATTTGTTCATGTGCATCCAAATGAAAACAATTCTACATGTACTTCAGTCTTATACAACAAATGCCAAACAGTTCAATTCTTATTTTCATATCTATTTAAAAAATCAAAACAATTCAATGGCTAACATAAGTAAATAAGAATGAATATCTCATGTCATCCCTTTTTGTTAAGTACATGTACATACATGTACAGTGTGTTGTAAAAGTAATTTGATTAGTTTCAATCAAAACTTAAAATTCAATACAAATTGACTGAAAAGAATATTTTCAACTGTTATTTATTTTGCAACATCTAAAATCATAAATAAAATTCTACCCTTGCTACATTGTAAGATAAAATTCATAAATTTTGCATGTATAACTCTATCTTTCAAAACTACTTGTTTATTTTTATAGACTGGTATAACTTAAGTTATAAAACATTGAAATTTCTGATGATTATTTTCCTTACCAAATGTACAAGTTTGTTTAGATTAACATCAAAATGATATGCTTTACTTCATGGTATGATAGTTTGATAAAAAAAAATTCTTACTGGAACCAACATCACGAACACATTAATTTCTGAATATGGTTTAAATACAACTAATGTTCTCCAGCTGCATGAGCCTAGCAATATTCAAGGTAATTTATACACTGTCCAACAGTGCACTTAAAATCTGGGTTATAACGCTAAAGTGCCCTTTCAGACAACTAGCACCCTTCTGCCCTGAGATTCAAGCTGGAACACTGATAATGATATTCAGCTTAAAGAATGTTAACAATTTAACATTATTCAATTCCAATAAATTGTTGACACAGAGATGTGTCTCACCTGTATGTAATTTTGATAGTGTATGTAAATGTTGAAATCCAAATGGTAAAAAAAATAACATGTAAACTAATTAAAATGCAATATACAATGAGGATGACAGAGGGGTGGGGGCATAATAATCATTGAAATAACATGTGCCAATGCTTATACAACTGCATACCAAATATCATTGACTTACCATTAGTGGTTAGCCTTAAACTAACCTAATCACAAACTTTAAGATGTATATTGATTGGTACTTCGGTTTTTGTCTGCTCTATGGTCGGGTTGTTGTCTCTTTGACACATTCCCCATTTCCATTCTCAATTTTATCAGTACTTTCCAAAAGTTTCGAAGTCAATGATTATTTGATTGTTTCTTTTTATTGCTACTTTAAGCCCTCTTGGCTATATTGTGACGGCCAATTCTATTGGTGGAGGATGCCCGATTACCTGGAGAGAACAACGACCTTTGGCTGGAAAACTGGCAATTCTCGTCAGTTGAAATAAAATCTAACAGGGTTTAAACTCACAACCTCAGTGTTGACAGGCTAGTAGTTAATGTAGACAAACTACTTAGATCACTGGGCCACCAAAGCCCCTAGAGTTAATGAACCATGACTAAGGGGACAGAGCCAAATAATCTCAATGGAAATGAAATATATCTATTCTGGTTTGCTTATAAAACTGCATATCAAATGTACAAGACAATATATAAAAATGTGGGCCGGGTTTTATGTTAAAGAAATGACTATGTCCAAGTTGGCTCATCTTTAACCTCAACCCTTACTCTCAACTTCCTCAGATTTATATGTGCTTTAATCCCAGTAGCAACAATACAGCTTCTGTGACAACTTTTGTTAAATAAAAAAAACCCTTAGCACCCTTTCATTTTATGCCTTTTGGAATAAAACAAAAACTTTGATTCTGATTTTCAAGATGGCTACATATACATTAACAGTTAAGCAAGCATCAATCAATCAATAGGCCTTAATCCTTTAAGATACCTCAGTAAATAATTAAGGTTTACCTACTTGGAAGTCCTGTTACGAATAATTCCGACAATAGAAATAGGCGTGTGATACACCATTTTGTAGATAATTTAATTAAGATTTACCATTTAACAAGTTTCAGTGGGACAGACAACTGCATAATCCAAATACAACAGAAGTTCGTGACCGGGTGACATTTCTCAAATATGAATTAGGTACCTTGTGTTATATTAAAGTTTATAGGTACTGGCAATTTTTTTTTCAGAGACAAGTGTCTGTGCTCAGTAATGACCAAATTTACAAAATGTGTTAAACGTCAAAGTACAGGTGTACATGTTTAAAATAATCAATGAATGACCAAAAAATAAATATATTTGCCAATATTATAACAGGAAATTTTAATTGTTGATTCTAGAGAAGAGTAAACTATTTTTTTGGTTGTGTTTAAATTGCAGTCTCATTATGTATTATACCCCATATTTCAGTCAATTTACTTCATTGTTGGTCGGAGGAGAGGGTGTCAGGTACACTTACTTTGAGTGCAGAAGATCTTGGGTGTGATCCTCAATTGAATTAAATCACAGACAGTAAACTTGGTATTTGCTGCATTTAACAAAGCATGCATGGTGCATTTACATGATTTAGGAGTGTGAGCAAAGACTTAAAGTCAGGTGATAGTCAAGAGTAATATGCCACTTTAAAAGGATGTTAAGGCTAGTAAGTGGTTCTATTACATAGCAAGTTTTTTTTTATTCAACTAACATTAATATGATTGCTCTTATTATATTCATGTAATATTTGCAACTAATCATGAAGAACCATTTAATCAAGAATCCATCTCAGTTTATTCATAAATATACTTTGTTATCAACTTTTTCCTGTGGTAAAACTGAATTCTACTTAATCTTAATTATGATTATAAGGAAGACACACCAGAAATATATAGTAAGAAAATCATTCTCAAGTTCAAAAGTAAAAAAGCCCATTATTATAGATATAATATAATAGCACAACAGGGATAGAATGAGGATAAAACTTCTCACTCTTTAAAAACATAAGACTGTCCTACAGGAAATGAAAACCATAATTGAGTCTTTGTCATTGTTTGCTGACCTAAACAAAAACATTCATTTTGTAAGTGAAAATGATAAATTATCACTTGATTCGATTCTGTAGAATTTTCTTACTTGACAGTCAAAAGCTTAAGACATTCTGTGGGCGGCCAAAAGAGAAAACCAATCTCTGAAATTCCAAACCAAAAAACTGCCCGGACTCAGGATCCCAAAAGTGATACATTTTTTGTAACTGTAAGTGAAAATAACAGGGTCCAATATTCATGTCAATCATGATGTCAATTAGACAATTTCATCAATAGAAAGAAATTGCCATTTATGATTGAAGTCTTACCATTTACCGACATCAATGAAATAATCTCTAGTTTAATGCCATTCACGAGGGCATGTTCATTATAGAATTGGTATACTTTATAATTATAAAAGTTGAGAAAATCTCCCACTTTTTTGTTTGTTTATTTTCTAGTCATGTGATAAATTACCTCCCTTCTAAATGTACCATGTACTAGGTTAAATATACAACGCACTCAAACGTTTTCTCTGTTGACTAAATATCATTTCAATCACATTGAAATAATCCTTGAACATATATAATAAACAAAAGCAATGATAATAATGATAATCATAAATAATAAGTAAAGTCATAAGTGAATAAAAAAAAAACGAATATAGAGAGGAAAATTATGGTATTCTTTCAAAAGAGAGGCGAAGGATACCAAAGGGACATTAAAACTCATATATAGTCGAAAAAAAAACTGACAACGCCATGACTAAAAAAGAAAAAGACAATCAGACAAACAACTGTACACAAAACACAGCATAGAAAACCAAAGACTGAGCAACACGAACTCCACCAAAAACACTTGATGCGGCTACACCCGTCGTGTTGCTCATGTTAGTACAAACCCAGTGATAAGTCTAATTCTGTAGGTCACATTCGGCGAAAAGCGGACGGGATTGTAGTTACCTCAATTGGTATTCAAAGTATTTCCAAGTTGAACATACTTTTACAATACGGCCCGAAAAATGTGAGACCGTGAACTGCGGCAGAATTTAATTACCCCGGAAGTTCATGAAGCTGGATAACTCAGTTTTGTATAAGGGGAAATACATGAAAATGGGCGTCAGCGTTCCTTTATAATAAATGCAACAGGTTTTTCTTGTGAGGATGTATCTCAGTAAAATGCCAATGGCGAGCAGGGGCGGATCCAGAATTTTGTCAGTGCCGAGGTCACCTTGCGAACTCTTATAAAAATTCAATTTTGTTTTATTGATATTAATGTCATGAAAATAGTAACAATTACAGCAAATGGTTAAACAGGACTAATAAGATTGATTCCAATTTCATTTTTCGTGCATGATTGCAGTGTGCAAACGTGTCAACGATCACATCAAGTTCTAAATGTAAGTTATAATGCACGTGCATCAATGCATCAATACAAGTTTGTTTATCGACCGTCTTTTTCTCAATGTTGTCTGTGCTTTGGCTTTTGCCTCAGCGTGACTCTTTTAACAAGGTTTGTCCTCCCGGCCGAAATGTTCGTTTAGTCTAGTAACAGTCTGTTCTTTCCTGCGTATTGCTTTACGGAAAGTTCTGCTTCCTCTTTTGCTTCAAATTGTCAGCTGAGAGCCTTCATCACATGTGAGTAATAATAACATCTTGGCATCACAGTAGAAAACCATCAATGGTCGAGGAAAGTTGCCATACAAATTTAATCTTTTAAAATTTAGATAAACGTATTATAAATGTAATTATTAATTACCTACTGAAAACAACCCAGATTGAGGACTAAACATATACTATAATTGTTAAAACAACAAAACACCCTATGTTTTTATAAACCTGCAATTAAATGTGAGCAAATCACAGTGACACCGTCAAGATACATGTTGTTCGTCTTAAGGTAAGTAGTTATCAGTGATAGACATATTGATAAATTAATCAAAATATCATGATAAAATGTACATGGTGCACCATTTTTGTCAACCTAAAAAAGGGGGGGGGGGGGTCACGTGCACCGGATGACCACCCCCTGAATCCGCCTCTGGTGAGTGTGGTGCCTACAAGTTCATTTCTAGGCCCATTACTCAGTTTTATGGTTTTTATAAACGACCTTCCTGTACTATGTTGGTAAAATTTAAAACCCGGCTTGTGCGCGAATGACTGTACATGTATTCTATCATAGAACAATAAAAATACAACATGATTGTGTCATCTTACAAAACGATCTAAATCATTTGACAACAGGGGAATGCAACTCCCTTACTGTAACAAGATTGCAATCGCCATACAGATCGACACAATTACTCATTGAAAGGTCACAGAGTCTGTCAACACGACAAAATACCTTGGTATCACCTAATTCAACAACATATTATGGGACATTCATAAAAATAACATCACTGCCAAAGCCAACATGATCGGGTCTTTGTAAAACGAAATCTAAAAAGAAACAAAAAAATGGCATACAAGTCTACGGTACGATTTCTCCTCTTACACGTAATAAATAACACAAAAATAACATGACGTACAGAGGAGGCGGCTGAAGGCTACGTTACCAAAATATACCATAACACCAACGACGTCACTTCCTTGATTGACCATCTCAAATGAAAAAAATCACAAGAAACTCGAAGACATATCAACAGAGTAACAATGATATACAAAGTCACACACAATCTCATAGCAAAGGACAACACCTTAACCTTGTTCCACAGCCGATCAACAACACCAGATATCTGCAGTTTCATTTAAACATTAAGAAACAGAACACTCTACTACAAATACCTATCAATTGTTTTTTTATGTCAGTATGTTAAAAATAAACTATGTGAAAGTTATTTAACATTTTGGAATAGACTGAAGTATCAAACAATTAACTCTGAAAAAGGGAAGCTTGGTACTTATTTTTCTATAAAAAAATGTTTTAAAAAAGAAAAATATTTAGAACTACAAGATTTTAAAAAAAGACAGTCAATTTGTAAATTAAGAATAAGTGCTCACTCTTTAAAAATTGAGACAGACAGATATTCAAAAAAATATATAGAAAGATCTGAGCGTCTTTGTTCAAATTGCTCACTTGGTAAAGTTGAAGATGAGCTTCATTTTTTGTTAGAATGTCCTCTTTATGATACTCAAAGGGAAGACTTTTTTCAATACATATCGGACAATTGTTATAATTTAAAAATTTAAATAAATCTTCTAAATTTTTATGGCTCTTGACTCAAGAAAATGTAACTCTTATGGAAAAACTGGGCTGTTATATTTGTGACTGTTTTTGAATTAAGGAGATCAGGTATGCATATTGACACTAAGTCAAGTAAATGATTTGAGAATGAATGCATATAATGTAATTTTATTCTTTTATTCACAATATATATGTGGTTTTTGGCTCTGATTCTGACCAATGCTGATATACTAAATATATATTTTCAAGTGACTATTATTGTTGTTGTTACCAATTATGTAAATCAATTGTATCTGATTTTATGCCCTTTATGGGACCTGTAATTTGGGAAATAAAAATATTCTATTCTATTCTATTCTATTCTATTTCCCTCATTCACAGTACATGTATTTTTATGCAACTCACTTCCACAAATCATTCTCAGTTCTACCTCTTTGGGTCGGTTTAAAACACTATCCAAAGTTAGTACATTTAGACAGACAGTTTGTAAATATGTAAATGTATTTCATTTCATTTTGGCACAAAACATATTTTTGTTGAATGCATTTTATAATTTAGTGACTGTTTCAAGTGCGCCTAAGCACGTATATATGATGTAATGCATGCAAGCCAGACCTTTCTTTCAGTCGTCATTTGAGATCCCCTGGCCACACTAAGGCAGAGCTCAATCGACTGACTATCACCATCGAAAGGCCTCATAAACGACAACACTGCTTGGTCTAGGGAGGATAGACTCACATGGGAAACATTTTGGATAAGAAAATTAAAAACGTTGGCACCAAATGGGATCAATGAAAAGGTGTAGTTCTAATTCGCGCATTGCTTTTCATTTGGGTTGCAATACTACGCAGTCTCTGTTGCTATTCCATTACCTTTGTCAACTCTGAAATTCTAGAATTATACCAGTTTAAATCACAGGGTGCTATTCATTTGGGATGTATAAATACGCAGCCACGGTGTAATTAGTTAACCTTTGTCTAAATTAAAATTTAAAAATTATACCTGCTCAAAATCGAACTGCTATTCATTTGGGATGTGTAAATACGCAGCCTCTGTTGTACTTAGTTTACCTTCGTCAAATTTGAAATTTTAGTTTTATACCAGCTCAAATCGGTAAATGCTATTCATTAGGAATGTATTTCTATGCAGTCTCTGTTGTAATAACGTAACTTTCGTCACCTGTGAAATTTTAGGATTGCACCAGTTCATATCGCACATTACTATTCTTTTCAGAAGCATATCTGTAGTCTCTGTTATAAATACTTAACCTACGTCATTTTTGAAATTTTAGAATTTTACAAGCGTTGTTCGGTTTTTGATTGTATAACTGAAAACATGTTATGGTTAAATCAGAATAGATTGATATGATTCATTTTACATCATCATAATCATACTGATGAAGGATATCTGTTATCCGAAATTTTTATAGATACTTAATGTATTTAATGTTTCCTTTAATTAATATTGGTGTTGTTTTGTACACTGTTTAGGCGTATTAGTCATCAATGTGCTGATGGATCATCGTATGATGGAATTGTAGATAGATGTAGGTGAGGCATTGCAAACATCCGATAAGTCGACTTAGAAAAAAACAGACCGTAAACACCATGGCCAAAATGAAAAAAAAAAAGACGAAAAGAATAACAACAGTTTACCGATGTTCAAATCTCATTTATCAGGAACATGACAGTTGTTTTCCGTTCGTTTGATGTTTTTGAGCTTTTGATTTTGCCATTTGATAAGGACTTTCTGTTTTGAATTTTCATTGGAGTTCTGTATTTTTGTTATTTTACTGTTTATCTATTGAGAAGATATAAAATATGGAAACCAATGAAACTGAGGAATCGCATAAACTCCAAAAGGAGCGAAAACGGTGCCTCAACAGGGTAACTGAAAGTCTTGGACAGCGAAAACATGTCGGTAGAGTGTTGACAGAAAGGCTCATAGTCTCTGCCAATCAATTTGTGATGGTAATCGTAAAACGTATGTAATGTCGATTCTAGTTGTTATTACTCATAATTCTGTAAGAGCAGTTTTTATGCAAGGCCTGAGGACACCCCTGTTTATGAAGTCCATAAAATGCGAACGTATACAAGCGTAACATATTAAATGAGATATGTAAACGACATACGATAGGGAAAAGGGTATAATACAGTTTTATACTGTAAAAAGTTTTTTTTTTTAAATCTACTATTTCAACTTTTTTTCTAAGTAATGTGTTCTTGCTATTGATAGGATATTTTATATCGCCACGGTTGTGCAGTATCTCTAATAT